TGGGGTTTTGTTTAGCTTCTTATTTGCAACATAGTACATAGTTGCTTAGAGTTGCAGCTGAGAGGCCGGCAGCGGGGAGAAACGAAGCCTCCCTGCTCGCTTCAGTGCATGGCTGCCAGCCGCCATCTTGGCTGACAGTTAATTTGCATAAGGATATGCTGATTAGCCAATGGGAAGGGTAGCGGCCATTTGGCTAATTACCATGTTTCTCTTTTATTAGTGTAGATTATAGACATGGTAAGAAGCAAAGCTAAATATTTAACTCTCTTTAATGATAAAAATGAACTGTATTAATTCTTTTCTAAAATAGCTTGTATTTTGTTTTTAGAAACAAATGCTACAATAAAGGGAAGATTAAAAACACATAAACTATGTTATAGTAATCGCTTATGTTTTCCTTACAGATATTACACATGAACAATTTTTGTGTTTCATTTGCTTGCGTTTTCATCATTCTGTAACTTTTAATCACTGTTCTGCTTTTTCTTTGGAATAATACGTTTGTTTAGGATTTTTCTCTTACTAATTTTTGAATGGTGATGTTTACTTGCTAGACCACCACAGTGCACCTTTCAAGGTTCAACTCATTCTGTAGACTCGTCGGCGTCGGCCAGCGACCCGATGCGACAGAGGTTTTCCGTGAAAACCCACTCCCGGTTGCCCTACCTCGTCGCTTCTGACGGCTACATGGTCACGACCCTCCGGTTCCTCGATAGCCTGTCTCCCTCGGTGCTGCTGCGGGCCCTTCTGCTGGATGCGACGCAGCGGCTTGAGAAGGCGTACCGCAGCGTGGTGCTGTCTGAGGTAGCGTGCTCTGCCATCGGCAGCCAAGGCTGACTTCTTCTTTGTTCAGACTTAAAACGACACTGATGTGCATGTCCTCGGCGTGTATGCGTTGTCTGTAGCATTTTTAGCTGCTTTGTAACGGGATTGGGGTAAAGTTTTGCTCTTGCAAATCTTTTCTCCTGTAGCCACAAGGCAAAGGGCTGAACTTGCGATCCCTGGGGTCCCTGAGGTTGAGCCTGTTAAAACGCCAAGGAAGCGAGCGGCCAGCGGCTTCTCCCGCCCCCGGATTCTTACAGGAAGAAGAAACGATGAAGTCGCATGAAAAGTCAGATTGGCAGGTACCTGGTGGCCATGTTTTATTCCCCTTGAACAGTTACGTGTTGACCTTAGTCCAGTGGTTCTCAACCCTCTGGCCCTTTAAACACAGTTCCTCCTGTTGTGACCCAACCATAAAATTATTTTCGTTGCTACTTCATAACTGTAATGTTGCTACTGTTAGGAATCATCATGTAAATATCTGATATGCAGGATGGTCTTAGGCGACCCCTGTGAAAGGGTCGTTCGACCACCAAAGGGGTCGTGACCCACAGGTTGAGAACCGCTGCCTTAGTCCAAGAATAGTATTTGGTTTTTCCCTTGTTAAAGGGGAGAGAAATTTGAGAACACCATGTGATTCTACTTATAAAGTATTGAGTGGTATCAGGTATCATTTTTTTTCACTCGTGTTTTAGGATTTTGAAGCAGAGGAAACTAACGAAAGCACATACTTCCCAAACAACTTGCTCTCTTTTTGGAACAAAGAAAATGACCCATCGTTTAGTGGTGCCAAGGAGGGGAGACTGGAGTTTGCGTCTATGTTCGACACAATACACGCAAAGGACCCTACGGAGGAGACCGACAGAACCATCGCAGAACTGCACTCGGTCCAGAAAAACCTCCTCGCGGCCTGGACCATCGGAGTTTCAAAACACGTGACGGAAAAAAACGTGATGCTAAACTACACAGTAGTTTGCATGACTTATTTTTTCTACGTTGTTCAGTTTATCAAATGTCCTTTCCCAGCACTCGATCTTTCCTTAAGCAAGAGACCGAGGCGTAACGCGTGGGTGCGTTGTGTCTTTCAACTCCTCCATCAGTGCTTGTCAGCCCAGCGCTGGGACCCGCGGGGCAGGCCGGCC